TTCTAAAGGATCAATCAAACCATAGAAGAAAAATAAAAAAAAACTCTTATTAATGATAGTAGATGTGTCCTTTTTAAGCAGAAAAAATCTCACCCATCAACTTAGAGTAATGATTCAACGGATGATAACGTGAGACAAAAATAAATACGATGGTAATACAAAATTTATGTATATAGTACAATTATTAATTTGATACCCTTATATCACTTAATATCCCCTATTTTCGTTGCGCGTTTTCGTTTGCTGCATCATTATTAACTTATAGAAGACTCATTGGATGTAACGAGTAGAGAGGTTGCCTCGGAGACTTAAAAAAAGACAGCATTGGTGTTGCCGTGCACGTAAGGGTCTATCATAATAAATAAAGTGTAAGAAGTGACTCAGAAACAACAACATTAAGGGGATAAGATTTAGTTTGACAACGATAAATCGTAACTATAGTTATAAATTTTTTTAGTTATTTAACATTTAACAAATGTATAAAATATATAAGTGGCTTGTCTCGGTCAGTGATATTGTATCAATATCATGAATTAAAGTTGTTTACTTTTCGTGTGTTACACGTTTAAATTTACAAAAATTATTTTTTTATCCCTCAATTAATCTTAAATAATTATAATACGTTTAAAAATAAATATATATAATATATGTTCAAAAAATATATATTATATATAATATTTATTTTAATTGATATTTTATATATTTTAAAATAATAAAAAAAATAAAAATCAAAAGTTAAAGCATCAACAAGTATTTTCAAACAAAACTTAAGGATAATGGAAGAAAATTAATAATAAAGGATAATGGAAACAATAATTAAAATATTTGTAATTAATTTTATATAAATTTTTATATCAAAATCAATTAAAATAAAATACAATATTTATACTCAAAATTTATAAAAATATATAAATTTTGTATGAAATTTTATATAAAATTAATTATAAATATTGTAATTAATGAAATTTAACTTCTGTCTTGAAAATATATGTTAGACAAACTCAATAATAACTATTAAGTATAAATTACATTTAAACAGCCAAACTAAATGTTGATAATTTTGGGTTCTATCACGCCAATAGATTTAGTTTGCTTTTATATAATCTGTAAATTGCTGGAACTAGCTAGTCTTAGTAGGTATTTACCCCAAGTGTTATTGTGTCAAACAAATCTCCACCAAAAGAATTAGTGAGAAGTGAGAACGAGCAATTCAAACCTCCCAACAGATTTAAGTGTGGGTTTGTAATATGAACTGTCTCAGTATTATACTCAGGAGACAGAAAAGGGG